TTCACCTTAAGTCCCCCTTAATTTGCCTCTTATATCCCTTTTAAATCTTTCCTCTCTCACCTTAAACCTATGCCCCTCCAATTTTGGACTACTCCACTGTTGGAAAAAAAGCCTTGTCTATGCACCTTATCCATGCCCCTCATGATTTTATAAACCTCTATAAGGCCACCCCTCAGCTTCTGATGCTCCAGGGAAAATAGCCCCAGCCTGTTCAGCCTCTCCCTATAGCTCGAACCCTCCTGTCCTGGCAACATCTTTGTAAATCTTTTCTGCTCCCTTTGAAGTTTAGCAATGTCCTTCCTATAGAAGGGCTACCAGAATTGTACATAGTATTCTAAAAGTGGCCTCCACTTCACAATAATCCTACAGAAGTTGCTACTGAAAACAATGCCATCTCTACGCACTTTGTGACACTATGAGCCTATTCACTAACGCTACCACCTCACTGATGCCATGCACAGTAGCGCCATGTCACTACATCACAATGATCAAGACACTCCATCTTGAAACTGTTTTCATTGAACTGATAAACTCAGCAACTCATGCAGTTCAGTTCAGTTTTAACGACTTCCTAGATGTACAAATAGATCGTGTCGCCATGGGATTCCCCTTTTAGGCCCTTTTTTCACACCACTCATCTGGATTCAACATCTTCTGATCCAAGATCATTACTTGCCATTGTCCTTATTCCACCCTGTGCCAACAATGCTACTCCAGCACCCTTTCCTTCCTGCCTGTCCTTTTGGAAAAGTGATGAGTTCCTGAATATTTAGTTCCCAGCTCTGATCTCCTTGTAACTATGCCTCCATAATGGCGATAAGATTGTACTCATTGACCTGTATTAGTGTGGTTAATTTATCTCTTTTGTTCTGAATACTATGTGCATTCAATTAGAAAGGTTATATTTTGCTTTTTTTGCCATTTTTCACCTTTTGACCTATCAACTGCTATTGGGTCTAGCGTGGGTTTTTTTTTTCAGTCGTGGGAAGTGAGACCTGTTAGATTTGAAAAGGATTTGAGTTTGAAGGATCACCTGAATAGGCTGGGACATTTTTCCCCTGGAGCGTCAGAGGCTGAGCAGTGACCTTATAGAGGTTTATAAAATCATGAGGGGCATGGATAGGGTAAATAGACAAGGTCTTTTCCCCAGGGTGGGGGAGTCCAAAACTAGAGGGGCATAGGTTTAAGGTGAGAGGGGAAAGATATAAAAAGGATTGGAGGGGCAACTTTTTCATGCAGAGGGTGGTGTGTGTATGGAATGAGCTGCCAGAGGAAGTGGTAGATAACATCGGATGACAGTGCTGATTGGTCAGTCCTTGCGTTTTGTACACGTGGATCAGCCAATTGAAACACAGAGTATTGCTGCCTTTCCCAGAATGCACTGCAGCATGGCTTAACAAATGGTCAACCCCACCTGAATCCATTCCAATTGTGAAAAGTTATGACGTTACAGGCAGCTTTTCTTCAGAGAAAGAAACCTAAAGAACTGCAGATACAAGAAATCAGAAATTGCTGGAAAACCTCAGCAGGTTCTGAAGGATCTGAAATGTTAACTCTGCTTTCTCTCTCCACAGATGCTGCCAGACCTGCTGAGCTTTTCCAGCAATTTCTGATTTTATTTCAGCTTTTCTTCAGCCTTTCTTTATCTGCTGTACTTATACATTCACCTCCTGTCGCAGAAATCTGTGAAGATAGGCATTTCATGCAAAGTAGAAATGCCACCAAATAAACTCTTGGCTTAACAATGATTGTCACCCTCTCAATTAATACTTAGAACCCTGCATCTCTTTTGTAGTTGAGTGTGCAGATTGTCTCCTATGCGCTAATCTGGGTTCTTCTGGATATCAGTCACTGTGAGGAAGGGCAGGAAGGAAGTGGGATGAGCTTCATTTAATTTTTGCGGGGATGCAGGCAGCTTGCTATCTACCTTCTGTAGGGTCATAAGATGCCCCCAGTGCTCCTGCTAGCTCTTAGATGGCGGGTGGTGGGGCTGGTTACATTTGTTTGCCATCTTTCTGTCTTGGGTAGGTCATTTGAGTGTGGGCAGACGAACAGCACAGATTTTGACTCACTGTGAAAATGAGTCCTTTCCCCTGTTACATAGTTACATCTATGATTTTGGAAAGAGTCATACTGGACTGGAAACGTTTGTTTCTGTCTCCACTGGTGCTGAATTTCTCTGGCATTCTCTGCATCTTATTCAGATTTCCAGCATCTGCAGTATTTTGCTTCAAAAGGCATGTTGCCCATTGCTAATTGCCCCTTGAGAAGGTGGGGGTGAGCTGCCTTCTTGACCCGCTGCAGTCCACGTGCTGTAGGTTGACCCACAATGCCCTTAGGGAGGGAATTCCAGGATTTTAACCCAGCGACAGTGAAGGAACGGCGATATATTTCCAAGTAAGGATGGTGAGTGGTTTGGAAGGGAACTTGCAGGGGGTGGTGTTCCCATGTATCTGCTGCCCTTCTCTTTCTAGATGGAAGTGGTCGTGGGTTTGGAAGGTGCTGTCTGAGGATCTTTGGTGAATTTCTGCAGTGCATCTTGTAGATGGTACACACTGCTGCTACTGAGCGTCGGTGGTGGAGGGAGTGGATGTTTGTGGATGTGGTGCCAATCAAGCGGCTGCTTTGTCCTGGATGGTGTCAAGCTTCTTGAGTGTTGTTGGGGCTGCACCCATCCAGGCAAATGGGGAGTATTCCATCACACTACTGACTTGTGCCTTGTAGATGGTGGGACAGGCTTTGGGGAATCAGGAGGTGAGCTACTCGCCACAGGATTCCGAGCTTCTGACCTGTGTTAGTAGCCACTGTATTTATATGGTGAGTCCTGTTGGGTTTCTGGCCAATAGTAACCTCCAGGGTGTTGATAGTGGGCAATTCAGTGATGGTAGCGCCATGGAATATATAGGGGTGGTGATTAGATTCAGATTTTAACTTGATTTTATTTCAGGTTTCCCGCATCCACAACAGTTTAGCTTTGGTTTAATGTGCCGGACGATGGTGACTGTTTGGCTGATGTTCCAATGTGATGAATCCAGACAGACTGACCCATGGGTAATGGAGGCAACAGCATCCCCAGCACCAGACAGAACATTGCCCCCAGGAGGTCACAACTCTGCCTAGGGACCATTAGTAATTGGGCATTCTGCTGGCGATGCACCGCGGATAGGCAAGATGTGTGAAACATCACTGTCTCTCTTCCAAGACAGTTGGCGTGCAGGCACAGTGGGCTGAATGGCCTCTTTCCGTGTCGTAACAATTTTGTCAGATGTTGCTGGCTTTTTGATGCCTCCAGCGCTCAGAGCAACGTTGCTTTGTGCGTCGGTTCAGAATGGCATCAGGTTCAGAAACATGGCCCCTGGGGTTGGAAACTAGTTGGCACTCCATGCGCCATTTCTTTGCTTTTCCCTGCCTGCTGTCCTACCCTTTGTGCTGCCACTGAGTGTGTGACAAATGCTGGTACCTCCTCACCAATGGTATTCCGCTAGGGGGGCGTGGGGGTATGGGGTTGGCCAAACTTAATGTCTAGTCCTATTGCTTGGGCATGCAAATGGAAGCCTGTTGCCAGTCATGCCCTGGCAAGGAGGCATGGACACCTTTATAGCCCACATCTGCTACCTTTCCATCACTACTATTGGCAGGACTCCTTTTCTTTCCAGTGATTCACCATAAAAGCGGCCGCATGGGTAGATGTTGGGGAAACATGGGAGTGAACTGTGATGGCCCTGACATTGGGTTCCCAACACATATTCCTGAATATTTCATCAATAAACTGTCCACTGGCAATAGGTCAAACAGCCATGCCCCTCACCCCTCTCTCCAATATGTGTAGGGCAACAAAACTGGGGTTTTGTGGGACAGTGGTAGTGCCCCTAACTCTGAGCCAGGAGACCCAGGTTCAAGCCCCACTTGCTCCAGAGTTGTGTCATAATATCTCTGAGCAGGTTGATTTAAAATACCTAGAGCAATAAGTTATCCGTGTGAGTAAACTTTGTCTACATTGACATTAATCAAACCATCTGGATATGGTAATGACACACCTCTAGGGACTAAGGCTAGGATCACCTACACTAGAGATAGGGATACTAAGCTTTGCACCACAAGATCCTTACTGCTCGACTTAGATGGCCAATGGCAGCTTGAAATGACTAAAAGCTGCAGTTCAAGACACAAAGGTATGACCCAGTGCTGACTGCAGGTAACTTCCTTACTTCAAGGTTAATGGTAAAAATGCAAGAGACTGCAGAGAGGACAGTGCAGCACAGAAAGAGGCCATTTGGCTTACCGCCTGCACCCCATTCTTAAACCCTCCAAATGCTCTTTTGTAGAAACGGTAGCATGGGCAAAGCAGGCCGAATGGCCTATTTCCCAGTCATTGAGTGTTCAATGCTTTCTCTGATCAACCTGTTCAGAGATGCTACATTAAAACGCTGCCTCTCCACTTTAGGCTTGACATTGTCAAAAAGACTTCCTATACTGATATACACTTGGCAAGCTCGTGAGGCCCACTATCAATGCAATCCTACTTTAATGTTACGGTGCTGCTTCCCCACTTCAAGATCAGGCAGGACTTGAACCCAGGTCTCCCAGTTCAGAGGCAGGAACGTTACCACTGCACCGAAAAGGATGGTGTATAATCCACAATCAATCCACTCCCTCCTTTCCTTTCAAATTTAACACGATTGGCTCAGTATTCTAGATCACAGCAACTTTTGGCTAGATCCTCGCCATCCCTCGAATTTTGTTTTGTCAATTACCTGAGGTCTGTGGTCCTGCGGCTCCCCTGATATTTCAAGCAGTCTCCTCTCTCGCCCTTCAGAAATAATGCATCAAACACATTCTCAAATGCACAGCTCTGGAAAATCCTTTTATTGTTGTGTTGGTAATGTTGCTCGCTAATTAATAGGGCTGAGAAGTAAATGAGCTGAGTTTCCTTGTCTGTTGCAATTATATTATTTGGAGGTACGTGGGGTAAATTCCTCTTTCTCTCTGCTATTCTGCAGCTATCCCACTGGAGGGAGCGAATCCCAGGTCTGGCCAACAGCCGCACTCTCATTGACCGGGAAAGGTTGCAGAGCTGCGGAGTGTTCGAGGGAGGGAGAGAGAGAAAAAAAATCAGAATGTGGAGTGCATCCGTCTGTTTGTTGAGAGAGAGGAGGGGGAGAGAAACATACCGTTAACCGCATAACAGGTAAGGTAAGTCCTGAGCAACCAGCAAAAAAAACACATCTGTGTTCCTTTGATTTGAATTTTTTTTGAAATGCCATTCTTGCAAACCGCCCTCTTTTGCGTGTTGATTTTCTTGCAAAAAAAATTGTACATGGGACAATAGAATTTCAGATAAAATACATTGATGTGTGTGTGTTTGCATGGCTTCTTGCAACCATTATGCTTTAGAGAATAAACAAGAAATTCCAGCCTTGGACGCTTCATCCAGTGATACTGGGAAGGTAAGCTGTGCATAGCCTTCATCCCAAATGTAAAATGTTCTATGACTGCCGGTCTATTGTGAGATTGCAAACGCTGGAGTGTGTGTGTGTATATATATATATATATATCTTTTTAAAAAAAACTTAAGTGGATCAGATTGCTTTCCACAGAGCCCCTGGAACTGTTTGTGAAAGCAAAAAAAAGCGAAGCCGGGGTTCATGTTTAAATCCATAGCCAGCTCAGATTTGTCAATATTTTGCAAAGAATAATGACTTTGGCTGTTTGGGGAGGGGTGTGTATGGGCATCTGTGGTCTGCAATATCATCACGTGGGCAGCACAGTGACTGCATTGTTAAGAAGGGCTCTAGTTTGCTGGAATGTGCAAGAATGGAAACTGAAGAACTCTCCACCACCACCTCCAACAGCCCCCCCCCCCCCCCCCAACCTGATTCTTTCCATCCAGCAATAGAGTTTAAATAGCACCTTCATGTGTGCTTCAGGGGAATGTTCTCTGACACAATTTGTCACCAAAACCCATGCGACCTTATGACTAAAGTTGGCAGGAAAAAAGATGTATATGTGAAACAGCTATGCCCCTCCGCCTCTCCAATATGTTTAGGGGAATGAAATTGGGGCTTTTGTGGTTCAGTGGTAGCGTCCCTAATTCTGAGCCAGGAGACCCAGGTTCAAGCCACCTTGCTCCAGAGGTGTGTCATAACATCTCTGAACATATTGATTTATTATACATTTATATAGAGCCCTTTTCAGAGGGTACAAAAAACCCAGCAATACTTGGAGCATCAGAGGCTGAGGGGTGACCTTATAGAGGTTTATAAAATCATGATGGACATGGATAGGGTGAATAGACAAGGACTTTTCCCCAGGGTGGGGGAAAATCATGTTTCACTAACTTGATTGAGTTTTTTGAAGAAGTAACAAAGAAGATTGAAGGCAGAGCGGTGGACGTTGTCAGTATGGGCTTCAGTAAGGTGTTTGACAAGGTTCCTCATGATAGACTGGTTAGCAAGTTTAGATCACGTGCAATACAGGGAGAACGAGCTGTTTGGTTACAAAATTGGCTTGAAAGTAGGAGACAGAGGGTGGTGGAGGGTTGTTTTACGGACTGGAGGCCTATGACCAGCGGTGTGCCACAAGGATCGGTGCTGGGTCCACTGATTTTTGCCATTTATATAGATGATTTGGATGTGAACATAGGAGGTATGGTTAGTAAGTTTGCAGCTGACACCAAAATTGGAGGCGTAGTGGACAGCTAAGAAGGTCACTTCAGAGTACAATGGGACCTTGATCAGATGGGCCAATGGGCTGGGGAGTGGCAGATGGAGTGAAATTTAGATAAATGTGAGGTGCTGCAATTTGGAAAAGCAAATCAGGGCAGGACTTATACACTTAATGGTAAGGCCCTGGGGAGTGTTGCTGAACAAAGAGACCTTGGAGTGCAGGTTCATGGTTCTTTGAAAGGAGAGTCACCCTTGAAGGTGGAGTCACAGGGTAGTGAAGATGGCGTTTGGTACGCTTGCTTTTATTGGTCAATGCATTGAGTATAGGAGTTGGGAGGGTCATGTTGCAGCTGTACAGGACATTGGTTAGGCCACTTTTGGAATTCTGCATTCAATTCTGGACTCCCTGCTATAGGAAGGATGTTGTGAAACGTGAAAGGGTTCAGAATTAGGGGAATGAGGAGGGTTAGGGTAATTTGAGAGATGGTGAGGCTGCAAAGGGATTTGAAAACAAGTATGAGAATGTAAATAACAAAAACAAGGTCTTGCCTGACCGGGAGCAAACAGGAAGCAGGATTGCGAGCTGAAATTGAGATGAAGAGTGAGCCATCCCAAAGGAGCTATTTTGGACGCGAAATGTTATCTCTGTTTTTCTTTCCCTCTCCATAGATGCTGCCGGACCTGCTGAGTTTCTCCAGCAACCTTTTAGGTCTCCAGCAGCAACTGCAGTATCCTACTTCCGTTATCAAAATGATTAAAGTCGTGGAGTTTGCATCCATTGTCACTGAGGTCAACAACACAAGGGAACGATGTCTGCTTTGTAGAGGCATGGGTTTGTGTGGAAGTGACTGAATCACTGTGGGTTGTTTGTTAAGACTATTCCCATGCTGAGATCAGCATGTAAGTGGGGGGGCACATGTCTTGATCAGGGCAAGCAAAGTTTGATTTTGGGAGGGGAGTGGCATATGGTGAGTAATAATTCGATTTAGTCTCAGCACTGGAACTGTAGGATATCTGTCACCTCTGTCTTATGCCCTGAGGGATAAGTTTGAGCAGCTCCCCCAAGAAATTTTGTGCTAAACAGCACACCTCACTCAGCAGGTAGCTGCTGTGCCAGTGCTGGAACAGTAACGGTTGCTACAGAAGGCCTACATGAGCAATACAAACAGAGGCCATTCCTCCCATCAAGTCCATGCTGACTCTCAGTGGAGCCACCCAGCCAGTCCTCCCCTCCTGCTCTGTTCCTTCCTAGTTTTTCATTCCTTGTTTCTTTTTCCACCTCACTTGCTGGCAGCAAGTTCCAGGTCTTTACCACATGCTGTGTTAAAATAAATGTCGTCTTCATGTTCTTTCACCTTTGCCCACCCCACCAACAACACGTCTTTTGTCCGAAGCCTGAAATATGTGACACCCCCCCCCCCCACCCCTGAGTCCTTGTACAATAAGTTAATGAAAGCAGATGTTATTACCCCCCTTATTTAAACTTGTCATCTCGATCGGTAATGTAGAGCGGTAGATATTGTCTACACGGACTTTAGTAAAGTCTTTGACAAGGTTCCGCATGTTGACTAATTAGTAAAGTTAGGTCACATGGGATTCAGGGTGAGCTTGCCAAATGGATACAAAATTGGCTTAATGGCAGGAGACAGAGAGTAATGGTGGAGGGATGTTTTTCAGACTGGAGACCTGTGACCAGCGGTGTTCCACAGGGGTCAGTGCTGGGTCCACTTTTTTTGCCATTTAAATAAATGATTTGGATGAGAATATAGGAGGCATAGTCAGTGTGTTTGTGGATGGCACCAAAATTGGTGGTATAGTGGACCGTGAAGAAGGTTATCTAAGATTACAAAGAGATCTTGATCAATTGGGTCAACGAGCTGAAGATTGGCAGATGAAGTCTCATTTGGATAAATGGAAGGTGTTGCATTTTGGTAAAACAAACAAGGGCAGGACTTGTACAATTAAAAGTAGGGCCTTGGGTAGTGTTGTACAACAGAGAGACCTAGGGCTTCAGGTACATAATTCTTTGAAGTTTGAATCACATATAGACAGGGTGGTTAAGGTGTTTAGCATGCTTGCCTTTATTGCTCAGACCTTGAGCATGGGAGTTGGGATGTTATGTTGTGGTTATACAAGTTGATGTTGAGGCCTCTTCTGGAGTACTGTGTCCAGTTCTGGTCGCCCTGTTATAGGAAGGATGTTATTAAGCTGGAGATGATTCAGAAGAGATTTACCAGAATGGCGCTGGAAATGGAGGGTTTGAGTTATAAGGAGAGGCTTTTTTCACTGGAGCGAAGGAGGTTGAGGGGTGACTTTATTGAGGTTTATAAAATCTTGAGGGGTATAGATAAAGTGAATGGCAGAGGTCTTTTCCTTGGGTGGGGGATTTCAGGACTAGAGGGTATATTTTTAAGGTGAGAGGAGGAAGATTTAAAAAAGACATGAGGGACAACTTTTTTACACAGAGAGTGGTTTGTGTGTGGAATGAACTTCCTGAGGAAGTGGTGGATGTGGGTACAGTTAAAATGTTTAAAAGACATTTGAATAAGTACATGAATAGAAAAGGTTTGGAGGGATATGGGCCAGGAGCAGGCAGGTGGGATGAGTTTAGTTTGGGATTATGGTCGGTGTGGACTGGTTGGACCGAAGGGTCTGTTTCCATGCTGTATGACTGCATGATCATATTTTCTCTTGATCTCCTTTGCTCCAAGGAGAACAGTCCTAGCTTCTCCCACCCTAACCTTGGAGCGAATACCCCCTATCCTTGGAATCATTCTGGTAAATCTCCTCTCTCCCCTCTTGAGGATCCCCCACTTTGTTCCTGAGGGGTGGCGACCAAAGACTGAAGCTTTGTCACAACATTTGGAACAAATCAGAAGGAACTTTGTTGAGGAGCTATGTTGTATCTGAACTAAGGAGTGCTTGTCGTTGACTCTAAAATTGTTCCACTCCAAGCTCCTAACCGACATCCGGTGTTACAGCTCTCTCTTTGAGCACAGCATTCAGTTTAGTAAATGTTCAGTAAAAGCTTAGACAATAATATGTCTTCCTTAATGTGATGCAACTGTGTAATTTATCTATGTTCATTTCAGAGTTTGAACCTGAGCTAGTAGCATTCGTGTTTTGTTCTGCATGTCTACGAAGAGGTTCAGTGATTAACTTGCAGGATTTCTTTTAAAACATCATATCAGAAAGAGACTTGCTGAAGAATAATGGGGTTTTGTTTCCATTGGAGGAGTTTATCAGCGGAATGTGTAATGCCATGATGATTTCAGATAGAAGATTCAGGAGTTTTTTTCTGGGCTTATGGGAAATAGTCATAGCTTCAAACAAAAGCCAATCTAGTTTCAATTTCCAGGTAGTCTGCAGACGTCTTGGCTGAAGCTAGATGTCTAAAGCTGTTGCTCCTAAGAAAAGGAGGTTGTTTTGGCCTGTTCAGAAAGTTGTTGCCTCAGTGTAAGGAGTTTAGTTTAAAAGTTCCAGATCAGAAATGTTTGGTTGAAACCCTGAAGGGGTTATTTGA